GTGTCTTCCTTGGCTTTGTCCCTGACGCGCCGGGCTGGCAGTTTTACCACCCCACCTCGCGCCGGGTCTTCGCCTCTCAGGACGTCACCTTTGACGAGTCGGTCCCTTTTTACCGTCTCTTCCCCTACCGCACTGCCCCCCTCCCTCCCCCGCCACTTTTCCTTGCTCCTGGTCCCCCTCCGGTAGACCCCCTTCCCCCTCAGGGTCCTGCTCCTTCAGGTGTCTCTCAGGTAGACCCTCCTCCCGTCGCTGAGCCTGTCGAGGTCACAGGTGACTCAGGTGCTGCTGCAGGTGGTGCTGCTGGGAGTGCTGAGCCTGGGGGTGCTGAGCCTGCGGGTGCTGGGCCTGGGAGTGCTGGGACTGCGGGTGCTGGAGCTGAGGGTACTGTGCCTGGGAGTTCGGCGCCTGGGGGTGCTGAGCCTGGGGGTGCTACGACTGGGGGTGCTGAGCCTGCGTGTACGGAGTCTGGGGGTGCCGAGCCTGGGGGTACTGCGCCTGAGGGTACTGAGCCTGGGGGTGCTGCTGCTGAGCCTACGGAGCCTGGGGTTGCTGCGTCTGGGGGTGCTCTTCCTGGCGGTACTGGAGCTGCTGGAGCTGACGACGCTGGAGCTGACGGTTCTGGACACGGTGGTCCTGCTGGTTCTGGAGGTGCTGGCGAGGGGAGGAATGACGCTGCTGGGGCCTCTGGTGCTGACGTCGCCGACTCGGGGGGTGCTGCGGCGGAGGGTGCTGGTCCAGGTGCTTCTGGTGCTCCGGGTGCTGGAGGTGCTGGCGGAGCTCCGCCGTCGCGCCTGTTCTTCGCTCCTCCGTCGCCGTCGGCTTTGCCGCCGCCTGACACGGTGCTTCGCCAGGTTCTTTCCCTCCCGTCTTCCACTGGCCTTCCCCTTCAGCCTGGCTCCCCCCTCCCTGCTCCTGTGCCTTATAAGGCGCAGCCGGACTCGCTTACGGAGCGTCGTGAGCCTGCGTCTCGTCCTGCCTCGCCGGTTCGCGCTGCTCGCACTGCTCGCACTGGTCCCACTAGCCGTCGTGTCGCGCGTCCGCGTCCTCCTCCTGTTCCTGGCACGCACATTATGGCACTTCGTCCTTCCACTGGTCCACAGCGTGTCCCCCTACCGTCTCCTCCTGCGTCTTCTCTTCCTGACGTTCCCGACCCTGAGTCTGACAGTGTTCGTGCTGCCCACCCTACTGTCACGCGTCTTCTCGCCACTGTTGTCACTGACCCGTCGTTTGAGTCTTCTGCTGCGTCTGCCCTGGTCGCTGAGCTTGTCGACTTTGCTGCTGCCTGTCGCCTCGACTACGCCGCCAGTCTTGTTGCTGAGTCTGAGTCTGTCTGTCCTCCGTCCGTCAGGGGTGAGTGTGCTCTTGGCACGGACGTCCTTGAGGACAGGCAGGAGGACTTTGACTCTCTCGCGGCTGCTGTACCTCATCTCGTGGCCTGGTTGCTTGCCCCTGAGGGAGACCCGGATGCACTAGACATCCCCACTCCGCGCACTTACGCAGAGGCGATCTCGGGTCCCTACTCCTCTCAGTGGCAGACAGCCATGGACGCAGAGATGGCATCCTGGAAGTCCACAGGCACCTACGTCGACGAGGTTCCCCCTCCTGGGGCGAACATCGTCGATGGCATGTGGATTTTCAGGGTGAAGCGGCCGCCAGGTTCTCCACCTGTCTTCAAGGCTCGTTACGTTGCTAGAGGCTTCAGTCAGCGTCAGGGGGTCGACTTCTTCCAGACCTTCTCCCCCACCCCGAAGATGACCACTCTTCGGGTTCTGCTGCACGTTGCTGCTCAGCGTGACTACGAGCTTCACTCTCTTGACTTCAGCACAGCGTTCCTGCAGGGCAGCCTGCACGAGGAGATCTGGCTGCGCCGCCCACCTGGCTTTACTGGGTCGTTTCCTCCTGGTACCCAGTGGAGCCTCCGCCGGCCAGTCTACGGTCTCCGCCAGGCTCCACGTGAGTGGCACGACACACTGAGGACTACACTTGCGGCTCTTGGGTTCGCGCCGTCTACTGCTGACCCGTCGCTGTTTCTGCGCACAGACACGTCGCTGCCGCCGTTCTACATTCTCGTGTACGTCGACGACTTGGTCTTTGCTACTGCTGACACTGAGGCACTCGCTCGTGTGAAGTCGGAGCTGCAGAAGAGACACACCTGCACTGACCTGGGTGAACTGCGTAGCTACCTTGGCTTGCAGATCACCCGGGACAGAGCTCGCCGCACCATCACCCTGACTCAGTCACACATGGTGCAGCAGGTCCTTCAGCGCTTCGGCTTCCAGTTCTCCTCACCACAGGCCACACCTCTGGCTACTAGCCACTCGCTCTCAGCTTCACCTTCGGACGAGTCCGTAGAGCCGAGTGGCCCGTACCCAGAGCTTGTAGGCTGCCTCATGTACCTGATGACTTGCACGCGACCTGACCTCGCGTACCCACTTAGCATCCTTGCTCGCTACGTTGCGCCTGGGAGACACAGGCGAGAGCACTGGGAGGCTGCTAAGAGGGTGCTGCGTTACTTGTGCAGTACATCAGGCATGGGGCTGGTGCTTGGAGGACGCGACAGAGTTGTCCTCACTGGTCACTCGGACGCTTCTTGGGTGGACGACCTGGCTACGCAGCGGTCGTCACAGGGTTACACCTTCAGCCTTGGCTCTGGTTCTGTCTCGTGGCGGTCCACCCGCTCTTCTTCTGTTCTCGGCTCTAGTTGTGAGGCTGAGATCTACGCCACAGCCATGGCTGCACAGGAGTTACGCTGGCTCACCTACCTGTTGACTGACTTGGGAGAGCGGCCTAGTTCTCCTCCAGTTCTGTACGGTGACAACAAGGCGGCTCTTGCCTTGTGTCAGGAGCACAGACTGGAGCACAGGACGAAGCACATTGCTCTTCGCTACTTTCTTGCTCGAGAGCTTCAGCAGCGCGGTCAGCTTCGGCTTGTGTACGTGGACTCGAAGGCCAACACTGCTGATATCTTCACCAAGGCGCTCCCGCCTAGTGATCATCAGCGGCACTGTACTTCTTTAGGCCTTGTGTCCACGTTTCCTCACTTGCTCACTGCTTGATATTCTTTGTACTGTACTTTATATTTGTCTTGCTGCTTGTCCTGTTCTATATCTAGCACTACATGTGAACTGGCCTTGTGGCCTTTGTTTGTGCTCGGAGTGTGGTGACGTTGTGATCCACCCTGGGCTTGTTTTTGCTTTGCTGGACTGGTCTTGTGACCCTTTGCTCTCCCCCACTTTGCCTATGGGGGTGTGTTAAGTTGTAATGTGTTATTTATATGTAGGTAGGCTGTAGTGGGGTAGCCAATACAGGGTACAAACCCAACTAGGGTTAGCTACTTGTACCCAACTGTTTCTTTCAATGCCATTCATTCTTGCCTAGTTCTGTTAACACATGGATGGCGACTCGGCGAAGGAAGCGTGTGCGGACGACGACGACGAAGCGATAGACGATTGCGCGCGACAGGCGAAACCTATTTACGGTACTAGATCACGTCTTACTACATAACGCACCCGAGCAAAGTCATTATTTGCACGCCTATGAGACTAACGACTAGGATTTCAACTTTTCTTAGCTTGGCAGTAACAGGTGACAAGGGAAGTATAAAACAGAGTCATGTCACCCAGTTCCAGCTTGAAAATGATGTTGGGCCTGGCGACTCAAACCGTCGCAGCGAACGATCGTGCGGGTGAAGCACGTAAACATGCGACAGCTGACATTGTTTTGGCGGGAGCCAATTTTTGGAGACAGCCAATCACATCATCCCATTCTGAACACTTGAGTTTTTGGAGCAGTTTTGCATCGGCCCGATCTCTTTCCCTCTTCGCAACACTTTTTCAAGCTGGGTCGGGGTTCACTATTTTATATTTCGGTTTTAAGAACCATCCATTTCAATTTTTTATTCGCTCTCCCCCATCCCCCACTCCTCCCTTAGTGCGGCCAGAGCTTGGACCCTCTGATGCCGCGCTTCCAGTCGCCTCCCACTGCCTCCATTATGTCGTCTGAATCCCTCCACGTGAACTCCAGCTGTTGTGACAGGGGGAAGAGGAAAAGAGGGGTTTCAGATGCGTAGCGGCACAGGGCACCCATTGCTGCCAGTCGCCCCCCATGGCCTCCATTATGTCGTCTGAATCCCTCCACGTGAACTCCAACTGGAATAGCGGGGTACCACATTGTACCACATTGAACCACATTGAACCACATTGTACCACAGTTGCAAACCCACCTGCCCTATGACAACAGTGTCCCCCTCCCGCACGCCCCGCGCCCTCAGTGCCTCGTTGATACCACTCGCCTCCAGCACATGGGCAAAGCGCCTTACTGCTTCAAAGTACCTGCGGCAGGGAGAGGGGGGGAGCAGAGAGAAGAGAAGGAAGGAGCAGGGAGGAGGAGGAAGAGGGCGAAGGGGAGGCGGATAGGGGCCGATTGAGTTGATTGAGCGGGTGCGGGGTGAAGGGGTGGAAGGGCGGGGGTGCAGAAGGGTAAAGGGCGGGGGAGTGGGGGTGGGAGGGCGGGGGGATAAAGGGTGACGTAACAGAGAAGGTGATTGACAAACGAGTAGTGGACAGCTCTCACCATCTCCTGAACCCCTTCCCCCCCCCCCCTCCTTCCACTCACTCCCAGATGGTCAATTCTCTCCCCCGTGACTTCAAACACGCGCATGTGTGTGGCCTTCACACGTCGCTCACTCCCATCCGCTGCCCCTACTCCCCGTTCTGCGCCTTCCCATCCCACCACACCCACTCCCCCCCCCCCCCACTCACTCCCGGTTGGTCATCTGCACGAATCGCTCGATGCCCTCCCCCGTCACTTCAAACACATGCGTGTGTGGTGCTGTCACTTAGTCCATTTCCCCAACACCCACCCACCATCCGCTGCTCCCCCCCTTCAACTCACTCCCAGTTTGGTCATCTGCTGCACAAATCGCGCGTGTGTGTCGCCTTCACTCGTCACTCCCCTCCCAGTTCTACACCTTCCCACCACCCCTCACTTCCCTCCCCCACTCACTCCCAGTTGGTCATCTGCACGAATCGCTCAATGCCCTCCCCCGTCACTTCAAACACGCGCGTGTGTCCATCGAATGCCACCCGGAACTCGTTCACCGCCGCTCGCCTCGCCCGCTGCACCTCCGCTGCTAAACCGAGGCGCTGGCGAGTGGTGTTAGGGGCTGGGGCGCGGAGAAGGGCAGAAGCGGACGGAGGGGGGAGGAAGAGGGAAATGCGGCGGAGGAGGGGCAGCAGGTGAGGGGGTCAAGGGAACTCGTTCATACAGTCGACTCCAAACTTGAAGCACCCCAAAAGCCACATCACCTTCTGCAAAAGCCAACTTTTTGTTGCATAACAACATAGTTTCTTCTGGCAACACACGCCAAACTTCCTCACCTTCTTCCTCCTCCTCGTCCCCCCATCCGTCCCTCTCCCCTTGAACGCGCTTCAGCAACTCATACGCAGCCCGCACCACCTCCTGTGTGCCCTGCCCTGTCACAGCACTCATGCTCAGCACCACTGGACCCTTCATCCCTTCCCCTTCTCCCGCCCTCTCCCCCTCCGCCCCTCCCCACCACGCCCCGTCCTCCTCGCCCTCCCCTCCCAGCCCCAGCTCCCGCACGGCTTCCTGGAAGCTTCCCCACTGCTGCTGCGCGTCTGGCAAGTCCATCTTATTGAAGACGATCACCCGTGGCTTGGCAGCGAGGGAGGGCGAGAAAAGGGCGAGCTCCCTGGTCACTGCTTGGAGCTCTAAGTAGGGTTGCGGGCTGCTGCCGTCTATGACGTGGATCTGGGTGTGTGAAGGGGAAGAAGGGTGTGTGAAGGGGAAGAAGGGTGTGTGAAGGGGAAGAAGGGTGTGTGAAGGGGAAGAAGGGTGTGTGAAGGGGAAGAAGGGTGTGTGAAGGGGAAGAAGGGTGTGTGAAGGGGGAGAAGGGGATACGGCAGGGGAAAAAGGGGAGAAAGAGTGCATGGGAGAGGGCAATGGGAGGGAGAGGGCAATGGGAGGGAGAGGGCAATGGGAGGGAGAGGGCAATGGGAGGGAGAGGGCAATGGGAGGGAGAGGGCAATGGGAGGGAGAGGGCAATGGGAGGGAGAGGGCAATGGGAGGGAGAGGGCAATGGGAGGGAGAGTGCTAAAGACTCGTGCTAAAGACTCGTGGGAGGGAGAGGGCAATGGGAGAGGGCAATGGGAGAGGGCAATGGGAGAGGGCAATGGGAGAGGGCAATGGGAGAGGGCAATGGGAGAGGGCAATGGGAGAGGGCAATGGGAGAGGGCAATGGGAGAGGGCAATGGGAGAGGGCAATGGGAGGGAGAGGGCAATGGGAGAGGGCAATGGGAGAGGGCAATGGGAGAGGGCAATGGGAGAGGGCAATGGGCGAGGGCAATGGGAGAGGGCAATGGGAGGGAGAGGGCAATGGGAGAGGGCAATGGGAGGGAGAGGGCAATGGGAGAGGGCAATGGGAGAGGGCAATGGGTGAGGGCAATGGGAGAGGGCAATGGGAGAGGGCAATGGGCGAGGGCAATGGGCGAGGGCAATGGGCGAGGGCAATGGGAGAGGGCAATGGGCGAGGGCAATGGGAGAGGGCAATGGGAGAGGGCAATGGGCAATGGGAGAGGGCAATGGGAGAGGGCAATGGGAGAGGGCAATGGGAGAGGGCAATGGGAGAGGGCAATGGGAGAGGGCAATGGGAGAGGGCAATGGGAGAGGGCAATGGGAGAGGGCAATGGGAGAGGGCAATGGGAGAGGGCAATGGGAGAGGGCAATGGGAGAGGGCAATGGGAGGGAGAGGGCAATGGGAGAGGGCAATGGGAGAGGGCAATGGGAGAGGGCAATGGGAGAGGGCAATGGGCGAGGGCAATGGGAGAGGGCAATGGGAGGGAGAGGGCAATGGGGAGAGGGCAATGGGAGGGAGAGGGCAATGGGAGAGGGCAATGGGAGAGGGCAATGGGCGAGGGCAATGGGAGAGGGCAATGGGAGAGGGCAATGGGCGAGGGCAATGGGCGAGGGCAATGGGCGAGGGCAATGGGAGAGGGCAATGGGCGAGGGCAATGGGAGAGGGCAATGGGAGAGGGCAATGGGAGAGGGCAATGGGAGAGGGCAATGGGAGAGGGCAATGGGAGAGGGCAATGGGAGAGGGCAATGGGAGAGGGCAATGGGAGAGGGCAATGGGAGAGGGGCAATGGGAGAGGGCAATGGGAGGGAGAGGGCAATGGGAGAGGGCAATGGGAGAGGGCAATGGGAGAGGGCAATGGGCGAGGGCAATGGGAGAGGGCAATGGGAGGGGGAGAGGGCAATGGGAGAGGGCAATGGGAGGGAGAGGGCAATGGGAGAGGGCAATGGGAGAGGGCAATGGGTGAGGGCAATGGGAGAGGGCAATGGGAGAGGGCAATGGGCGAGGGCAATGGGCGAGGGCAATGGGCGAGGGCAATGGGAGAGGGCAATGGGCGAGGGCAATGGGAGAGGGCAATGGGAGAGGGCAATGGGAGAGGGCAATGGGAGGAGGGCAATGGGAGAGGGCAATGGGAGAGGGCAATGGGAGAGGGCAATGGGAGAGGGCAATGGGAGAGGGCAATGGGAGAGGGCAATGGGAGAGGGCAATGGGAGAGGGCAATGGGAGAGGGCAATGGGAGAGGGCAATGGGAGAGGGCAATGGGAGAGGGCAATGGGAGAGGGCAATGGGAGGGAGAGGGCAATGGGAGAGGGCAATGGGAGAGGGCAATGGGAGAGGGCAATGGGAGAGGGCAATGGGCGAGGGCAATGGGAGAGGGCAATGGGAGGGAGAGGGCAATGGGAGAGGGCAATGGGAGGGAGAGGGCAATGGGAGAGGGCAATGGGAGAGGGCAATGGGCGAGGGCAATGGGAGAGGGCAATGGGAGAGGGCAATGGGCGAGGGCAATGGGCGAGGGCAATGGGCGAGGGCAATGGGAGAGGGCAATGGGCGAGGGCAATGGGAGAGGGCAATGGGAGAGGGCAATGGGAGAGGGCAATGGGAGAGGGCAATGGGAGAGGGCAATGGGAGAGGGCAATGGGAGAGGGCAATGGGAGAGGGCAATGGGAGAGGGCAATGGGGAGAAGGCAATGGGCGAGGGCAATGGGCGAGGGCAATGGGCGAGGGCAATGGGCGAGGGCAATGGGCGAGGGCAATGGGCGAGGGCAATGGGCGAGGGCAATGGGAGAGGGCAATGGGAGAGGGCAATGGGAGAGGGCAATGGGAGAGGGCAATGGGAGAGGGCAATGGGAGAGGGCAATGGGAGAGGGCAATGGGAGAGGGCAATGGGAGAGGGCAATGGGAGAGGGCAATGGGAGAGGGCAATGGGAGGGAGAGGGCAATGGAGGGAGAGGGCAATGCGAGGGAGAGGGCAATGCGAGGGAGAGGGCAATGCGAGGGAGAGGGCAATGCGAGGGAGAGGGCAATGCGAGGGAGAGGGCAATGCGAGGGAGAGGGCAATGCGAGGGAGAGGGCAATGCGAGGGAGAGGGCAATGCGAGGGAGAGGGCAATGCGAGGGAGAGGGCAATGCGAGGGAGAGGGCAATGCGAGGGAGAGGGCAATGCGAGGGAGAGGGCAATGCGAGGGAGAGGGCAATGCGAGGGAGAGGGCAATGCGAGGGAGAGGGCAATGCGAGGGAGAGTGCTAAAGACTCGTGCTAAAGACTCGTGCTAAAGACTCGTGCTAAAGACTCGTGCTAAAGACTCGTGCTAAAGACTCGTGCTAAAGACTCGTGCGCACACTGCAAGCTCACCAGCACTCTGCAGCGGTCAGTGTGTCTGAGAAACTGGTGCCCCAGCCCTCGCCCCACGTGCGCGCCCTCCAGCAGCCCAGGCACGTCCGCCCACACCATGCTGTCGAATCCTCCCGGCACTGCCACCACGCCAAGGTTGGGGACGAGAGTGGTGAATGGGTAGTTGGCCACCTGAGGTTTGGAAGAGTGAAGGGAAGGGAGTAGAGGAAAGGGAGGTGAAGGGGCGAGCGGCCCTCCAGCAGCCCAGGCACGTCCGCCCACACCATGCTGTCAAAGCCTCCTGACACTGCCATCACGCCAAGGTTGGGGACGAGAGTGGTGAATGGGTAGTTGGCCACCTGGGGGTGGAGGAAGGGCAAGGGATGAGGGATGAAAGAGGAGAGCCGAGAGGGAAGAAGGCCAGCAGTGATAGATAGGCAAATAGGTGAATAAGGTGGGCGATCCGTTGGATAGGTGATGGAGGAGAAGGTGATGGAGAAGGTGATGGAGGAGAAGGTGATGGATAGGCAAATAAGGGCAGAATTGAACTTCAGGCTTGGACGAACTGCAGGCTAACATGCAGTGGCCTAACCACTGCATGGATCACCTTGGGGCGCGCGGCAGAGATGGCAGCGAGCAGCGTTGACTTGCCGGCGTTGGGCGCGCCCACGATGCCCACATCCGCTACCACTCTCAACTCCAGCTGCACCCACCTGGGGAGAAAGAAAGGGAAGGGAGAGGAGAACGTTGTTTTGAGACGTCTCAAAACTACTCTCTCTTCACAGGAGAACGGGCCCAAAAGTAACGTGTCAGCCAGCCAGAGCGTGGGGTGCTTCCACGGTGCCTGCATCCATCTGGAACGAACAGTGGAGCAGAGACTAGCACAGCCATATTCAGCACCCTTCTTCGCCCCCTCACGCATTTCTCCCATCCCCTATGCGTATCTTTCCCCCTCCCTGCTCCCACCCCCTATTTCCTCCCCTATTCCCCCAGCGCACTCACATCTCAGGCCCCTCCTCCCCCTTCTCTGCAATCTGGGGCGCGTTGGTGCGCCCAGTCTTGAACGCCGCGTTCCCCCGCCCGCCCCTTCCCCCCGCCAGCAGCACCTCGCTCTGCCCCGCGCGAACCAGCTCCAGCAGCGCGCGCCCCTCCCCCTCCCCCTCCCCCTGCTGCGCTCCTTCCCCCTCCCCTTCCCCGTCCGCCCACTCCTCTCCACCGCTCTTCACCCCCCAATCCCGCACAGGACCCCTCCCCACCACCTCACGGACAATAGTTCCGGGGGGGACTTTAATCTCCACGTCCCGACCCGCCTCGCCGTGCCTGTTACTCCCCTTCCCATGCGCCCCGCGCGTCGCCCTGAAATGCACCGACCGGCGGAACGGCAGGAGGGAGTTCAGCGCCGGGTCGGCGGTAATGATTACGTTGCCGCCCCGCCCGCCGTTGCCGCCCGACGGGCCGCCGTCCGGGACAAACTTCTCCCGGCGGAACGCCACTACCCCGTCGCCACCGTCGCCTGCTTTGATGTAAATTTTCGCCGTGTCGAAGCAGCGCATCACTGCTGGTAACCCTCTTCGCTCGGCGTCTGATGCTGGTGATGACGATGAGGAGTCGTTGCCCTCCCATCCCTCCTCGTCCTTTCCTTCTAGCCACCGCATCTCCTCGCGCAACCGCCTCTGCTCTTTCCTCCTCAAATGAGACAAATCGTCCTCTTCCTCTTCCTCTTCCTCCTCCTTACCCCCTCCCTCCCCACCCTCTCCCCCCACTATTTTGTCGTGAATACGTCCCGAGTTGCTCTCGCCTCGCACACTCACTGCTGCCGCCTTCCTTTCTCCGATCGACCCTGCGGATTCAGCCGCAAAACCCCGAGGTTCGGGGTTTCCTGTCCCCTAAGCCCTTCCGCCGCTGCCTGCGCCCTCTCCCGCGCCTTGGCTTCCGCCAGCGCCCTCTCCATCTCCGCCAGCTGCCGCCTCAGCGCCGCAATCTCTCCCTCCATGTCCGCCAACGCTCCCCCCGCCTCTTCCCCCGCGCCCTTACCGGCCTCCGCCACTTCCCCGCGCGCCGCTTTCCCCGCGCCCATCTCCCGCCTCGCTTCCGCGCCAATCTCCCCGTCGCCCTGCAGCCAATCACCGTCCACCATGCGCCCCCCCGCGGGCGCAACTCCCGCCAGTTTCTCCGCCTCCAGTTGCGCGATTTCCCGCTCCGCTTCTAGAAGCAGCTCCCGCTCCTCCTCCTCCGTCATCGGGGGTAAATCACCCTCCCACAACTCTACCCTCACATCGTCGTCCTCTCCCTCCTCTTCGTCCTCCCAATCCTCATCCCACTCCTCTTCCTCTTCTTCTTCCTCTTCCTCGTCCTCATCCTGTCCTCGCTCCCTAGCCACGTCAGCAGCGGGCGTGCCTGCGACTATCCCTGCCTTATCCTGCTCGCTAACGACTGGTGCAGCTTCAAGGACGGCGGCTGATGCGGCGGTTGATGCGGCGACTGCCGCGGCGACAGAAGCGGTACCCGCATTTTCAAGATCTTGCTTGTTGTCAGCACGTAATTTTTGAGACGTCTCAGAAGCGGTACCTGCATTTTCAAGCTCTTGCTTGTTGTCAGCACGTAAACCCTTTGTTGCTCTGCTTCTTGGCGCCACGTCAGACCCTTCCCCGTCCACGTCATCCTCACGGCGACCTAAAGCAGCTACAGTTGTGCCACTAGCCCACGAGAAATCCGGTTCCGACGCCGCTGACGTGGCATCCCATGACTCGCCATTCGACCGGGAAACGCGTTTTTCAGTCCTTTTCGGCTGGTTGGTCCGCGTCGCTGAATTCTTTCTTGCTTTAGACGTCTTCGCTGTCACGTTAAGAGCTCTAAGCCTGCCGCAGCACTGCTCACTTCTGCTCGTTACGAATCGTCCCGTTAGCGCTGTAGGTAGCGACGGCAGGAACAGACGACCGGGACGGGGGGAACTTAAAGACGGATCCAGTACCACGTAGCGCGTAGGATGCGGAACGGCAACGAGCTGGCGGCACAGCGCCATGACTCACGCTTTTTCAATGGCGCTGATGACAACGGACGAAAGGTCTAACAAAACTCCCAAATATTAGTAAAAAGAGGCGACAGACGCGGGATGCACTAGGATCATGACCGACTGATGGCTTGGGTGGGATGTTCATACAACAACGAACAAATATTTGTCTCGAGATTGCCAGAAAAATCTCAACAGGATGACGGTGCGCTTTTGAAAAAGGCAAGCGTACCGACGTGGAGCTGATGTGGCTGCGTGAGTGTTGTCCAGGAATCTCGTTCTGTGACTAGAGTTGATTAAATACAAGTAGAACAACAATGAAGATATAAAATATGTTAGGATCTTATGCCACTTCCCGTCCTACTATGTTTATTTCTTCCATGTCATTTACAATGTTCCGGGGTACTGTTCCTAGCCTATCCTTGGGAAAGAAACACATAGTGTCACTCGCATTCTTGCACTGAAAAATGTACGCTTGATCATAGTGGAACGACCTGCAAGAACAGAGCAGGATGACAAGTTAAGTGAAGGTGCAAGCGTTTAGGGTGCTCCATAAAAGGGTTCAAACATGATCAAATTCATTACCCAGCAAGTGTACTCACCCTTCCTTTCCTGTGAACACAGGGTCATAGTTGTATATCAGATAACGGTACAACTCGTGCCTTGACCGTGGTTTGTGGCCGGACTTGCGGGCCTCACTAATGGATTCAAAACAGCAGGAGAGTTGGAACAAGGGTTTATGTGAGCGGCCGGGCCATTGCACCGTAATGGGCGGAGAGCCACATGATTAGGATGTGGTTTCTTGTGAATGTGGGTGGGATATTGTGGAGCATTCTACAACAAGGAAAAAGCAACAAGGAAAAAGCAACAAGGAAAAAGATGACAACAAGGATCTGACAGGTTGGCAGCAATACCAGGTAAAGATGTGACATGGGGCAGATGAGGGGCAGGAAAAAGCAGGGGCAAGAGAGGGGGCAAGGAGGAGCAGAAAAGGGGCGAGAACATCACTGAAAGTAGAGGAGAGATGCAGGGAGCGAGGCTCACTTGGCAAAGAATGTGCCGGCAGCATGTGTGATCTGCACAGCATCGGAGGAGTGTGGGAAGATGGGGTTGCCCCACTCATACGCATTCTTCTGCAGATCCAATCAGAAACAAAGTGGGGGGGGGGCGGAGGGGAGAAGGGTGCAGGGACAGGCGCTTGCTGTGTTCACATGTACACATACGCCACATACAGACACAGGGGCTGCGACCAGGTGTTGACTTCATCCAGCTGGGATGCGCGATACCGGGAGTATGTAGGGATGGATGAAGTCAGCACAGTAATTCAAGGTGCCATTGCGGGGTAGTGAAGGGATATGGCTTGGATCTCTCAGTTGGGTGTTGGTGCATGTTAACGGTACGTCGGAGTGCTTTCCTACAGAACCAAGTGTATGTGCACAGCAGCAGCTTCACAGTACCTCGGGGTGCCACTGCAGAGCAGTGAAGGGATACCGCTTGGCCTCCACCGTTGATATGTACTCCTGGTGTTGCAAGCACACGAGATGGGAGGATGGGAGCGCGGTGGAAGGACAAGAGAGGGTGGTGAATGGGAAGAGAAGGCGTATGGCCTGCAAGGTGGATACTTCTGACAGGTGCAAATGGGTGCACGGTGCCACCAGCACCACACGCACCTTGCCGTCGTCATCAGCAGTGGTGGTGAGGATGTTGAAGAAGGACGCGAGACCCTCATCAGCGTTGAACGTCTCGGGAGTCAACCCATACTGCCACGTGCGCGTTGGGCACAAAGGGGTCAAAATATCAGCACTTGAAATCGTGTGATGCCAGGGAGTCAACCCACTGGAGAGGCCCTCATCAGCGTTGAAGGTCTCGGGAGTCAACCCGTACTGCCACGAGAACATGGGGCGCACACACAAGGGTCAACGCTTCAAGACTTGAAATTGTGAGACAACCGACTGGAAGAGAGACCCTCATCGGCGTTGAACGTCTCGGGAGTCAACCCATACTGCCACGTGCACATGGGGGGCGCACAGGGGGGTGAAGCATCAGTGGCAAAATCGTGAAAGTCTCAAAGGGTCAGATTCCTGAACTAAAGGGAACATACCTTGTGATTCTCCATGGTCAGGTTTTCTTTCTCCAAGCGGTCCACCAGTCTTCTGCGCATCCTGGAACACGAACGAAAGGTGGGATAATGAGAGTTTGTGACAAAAGGAATCAAAACCATGTGCTCCAGCTTCCATCAGAATGAATCCAGAGATGTAAGTTAACACTTCTAACATGCCAGTGTGTGAACCACTATCAGGTGAGCACCTCACCATGCGAACATGTTTCTGTCTTTGGCCCACTCTCCCACAAACTGCAGCGTGCTGGGCCTCTTAGCGTTGGTTGGCTCCAACACCTTGCGACCTCCCTGCACCGCATCGGACCCATCCAGACACTCAGCATTACAGCTTGTGTATCATGTGACATGCAATGCGTATGACACAAATTAACATCTATTGTACCTGAAACATGCGCTGTGAATAGCATAACATGGCACGTAGCATGCAATGTATGTGTGACAAATGACAACGCAACAGAGTTGGAAAATGACGGCGGGTAGAAGTAGTAGCACATAAATTGGCCAGTGAATGAGGACACAAATTCGCACCACCAAGTGCAATGAGGGTACTGACTCGAATCACCCACTGTACACAGGGTTATCTCCAGGACTACCCACCGTGCTGAGAATGATGGTGAGCATCTCGAAGCTGAGGCACTCGGCATAAATAGGGAAATAGTCGCCATTGTCGTTAAATGACATGGCCATCTGCAGGGAGGCACGAGTTCATGTGCGCACATACACGCGCGCACACGCACACACACGCGCAAACGCACACACACACAGTGGTATAAGAGTCATGACATGAATTCCTCAGACATGGGCAGGACTAGGATTTTGGTTCAATCAAATCTCGCATACACCCGTTCACCCGTGCGTGGTATGACATGCCATCCCACACCATGTCATACCATCTCAGGCCAACCCATCCAATCCCGCGCCAAACCATCCCACCCAACCCCATGCTATCCCATTCAGTTTTGAACCATTGCATCTATCCCGTCTTCGCCCCAGCTCGCCCCTTTTCCACACCCACCTTCAGCAACCGTCGCACGGTCCGAAGGAACCTTCCTCGCTTATTCGCGTCGCCTCCCGGCAGCACCAGTCCATTCACCAGCCGGAGCTTCTTGATAATCTGGCGGCGCGGCTCGTTGTAAATAATTGGCACAACTCTAGCGCCTCCGGCCTCGACGAACTTCACATAAGACGCTGCGATATAAGACAAGTTGGCGAAATGGTTCTCTTCCGTCGCGTTGAACACGCGGGCAATCACGCCGCTGTCCGCAATTCCCGGCTGCGAGAGAACGCCAATCAACGGCTGATATGTCACGGGTTCCGCATCGCCGTTGAACAGATCGCTGGGTGGTCGATTAGCTCTACCGTTGCTCTGAGGACCTTTGGAAAGAGGAGCTTCGGAACGAAGACGCTCATTGTTCCTAAAGTTTGTGCCTCGTATACCAACACGGCTTTCTACATTATCGTCGAAAGCCATCTGTCGATGAGCGGCCGCCATTAGTACTCTAGTTTCGTGACGCTGAGTATTTGAAAGACGGCTATTTGGAGATTGGTTATCCGCACTGCTTCGGTCTAAATATCTCGGCTTAGTAGGCCAGGAAAAAAAATCATGGGAATCAGCAGGATGGACTGCTGCTGGGGCTACGAATAGCACACAGGCTACTAAAAGCACTGACTTGCGAGCTTTCCAGGCCATGTCTACAAACTGATTGCATATGCTGCACCTGTGCCTGCTTTGTAATTCTTCCGCACAATGAGCTAACACACTATAAGGCTGGCTATTTGGCGAGCACTACATAGCAATCTATAGCAGTATCGACGAGCTTGACGTAGTCGCACTGACCTCACACTTCTTATGCCTAACCAGTGAAGAGAGGAAGTGAAAAGGAGACACAGCAAATGAAAATCAAGGTGCTGCCCTTCCGACCGTTGGTTTTACGGTCTCTTCGCGATTCCATTTCCTGAGTGTTGGAGCTCTCGAGGCAGAGAGGATGGTGGTGCTGGCGGGTGATTCGGGCTTTCCCCCTCCGCAGTTCCGCTTCAGACTCTGGCGGGGGAAACCGAGAAGTAGTTGGCGGGAGGAAGGCGTGGCGGGGTTTTGGAAAAGCTCCCGAAGGGACACTGTGGCGGAGCCACGCAGTCAAAACCGAACCAATGCCGGACCTCCTAACGAGGCTTGAGAATCCGAAGCAGGTCGAGAACCGAGACTTCTAGCTTGTAACTAGGGAGTGCTGTATTGAGTCGAGACTGGATTGGCTGAAAATATGGCGGCGCAGCACCGCACCAAACGAGTTCCGCGAGCTTACGGGAAGAGTTTCGTCTGCAGCTCGCGCCCTGTTACCTACCCCTCTTTTCCAGTCGTGGCACATCTCCAATTGCTATTGGCCACGTGAGTCGTTTCCACGAACGGGATAGGGCTTTTTTCTCCATGTGACATCCAGAACGGGCTCCAGCCGTTGGTTTCGTGGTTGTCACCAATGTCGTCGATACGAGCTGTAATGAATGTGAATTCATTACTGTAGAGGCTGCTCCTAGCGAGGACAGCCCGAACTGTTCGCGTCAGTTTGGGCTCGGTCTACACTTTCGTACCGAACCAGCGCCGAGTCGCCCCGCACCAATCGCGACACTTCCAAGCCTCGCACGTCCCGAGGCCTTCACCTAGCACGGTTTAGACCCTATAAATGCTCGCTTCTTTACCATTCTGGTCATTCGGTATTTTCATCCTTTTTATAAAGTCTTCCGCGCACTCTTCTTAGTACAACTCATAACACTTGGTATCAGAGCCTAAGTTCCTAGGTTCCCCGTTTTTTAGAGTGTATTACCCCTCGGGGGGGGGGGACAGGGAAGGATGCCGTGGTGACAGGAGTAGCGCAGTAGCCGGCCAGGAGAACGGGTAGTTGCTCCTAGCAGCCATGAATTTCTCTGGCGCTCCTGCGGCACCGACGGATCCTTGCCCTCGACGGTCGGGATTGACCGTGGCCTCCCTCCCCCCCGGGTGGTGGACAGCTGTGGCTGTCGCACATTAATTACCTTTGTTATTTTCGTCGGTTCCGTTAATCTCGTCACTGTTTTTCATGCGGCAGTTGGCGTCAGGCATGTTGGCGTCACTGCATGTGCGAGATTCTCGGAAGCAGCAAGGTCGTCATGTGGTGCGAGTTGGCGTCGGCACGTGGTCGCCAACTGCGCGTGACAATCTCGGAGTTAATGCGTGCGGCAAGTGGCGTCAGGCGTGATCGTCACGTTGCGCACGAGATCTCAGAGGTCTTCGGCACGTTGTGAACGTTCGTCGTCACTGTGCGCGAAGATTTCGGGTGACTTCACAGCAGAAACGACAGCTGGCCGGGCAGGCCAGGCGCATGGTGATTTGCGTCAGAAAATGCAACGGCAAGGAGAGACGGCGTGACGACTGCCCGAAAAAAAGCGGGGGTCTACCGTCGACCTGCCCGGGTGCGGCCGGTGTGGCTGCAGGAGGGTGCGTCGTTGGCGTTTTCGGCAGGAGCGGCACAGTGTGGGACGGAAGTCGTTTTTCAATCCACCGAAAAGTTCGGGAAAAACCGCCTACGACTAGACTGTCTATCGCTAGGGTCACTGCTGCACCTGCACCACGATCGGCGAAATTTTCGGAGCAACAAGCAGCAGCCGACACTGTACTTCAGGCGGCAAAGTACCCCCTGATCAAGGGTAGTTGCGCCGCAGACAGGGCAGTACACCAGCGGGACAACGTTTCGGTGCAGTGTTTAGACCTACGATTTTCGGGGGTTCTACCGGCTACAATACACGGAGTTGCGTCGAGATCGGGTTTAGCGAGAGAAACGGGCTTCGAGCTTCAGGAGGCGAGAATTACGACCCACGGGGAAACGCTCAAGCTGATGCCTAAACGTTTGCGGCTAAGCGGCGGTAGCCGGATGGGTACCACTACCGGCCGAGGTTTCCGAACGTTTCACATACCTCACGCCCAGAAGGCCTCGAAGGCAATTAGTAAGTCCTATTGGCCACTGGATCCAAAGGTGGGGCCCTGTGTTTAGCCCCGTGCTGGCTAAAAAGCGCAGGTATTGCGCAAGTTCGACAGCTGGGCGTACAAGAAATTTTCAATGAGACGGCACTGTTTCGGCCCCGACAAAACCGGACCATCGGCAGCAGTTACCCCGCCGAAAAAGTCGGAGCTGAAACAGTTGGTGCAGCTGTCGGAGTTTCTCCTAATTCAACGGTCTACCCGTCGGCGGTGTAGCGGCGAAGAAGGGGTTTCCAACGCTGTGGAGTTTTAAATGCGATAGACGCGGTAGGCAACGAAGCGGCCGGCCCGACTGTTTGATCCGATAAACATGATCCGGCTACGATAGCGTTCGCGCCTTCACCGAATGTCAGAAAAATCGCGGGCAACAAGGAGTTATGCCTCATCCGACAAAAGCGGACGCTGGGTGAACGGCGGCAAGCGAAATTGTCGGGGGGTGAAGACAAAAAATTAAGTGGAGGGAAATTTGTGGGTGCTCCAGCAGATCTCCAGAGTGAAAGGTTGAGCCTGTACACTAATCCACCGCGAATTTCGGAGTCTATTCGGTAGACCCCCGAAAGGGTTTGATATTGTTACATGGAGGCGCGGCGAGCGGTGTATCGCCAAGGATACCTGGGATTCGCTAAGTAATTTCGACGGGTGCGAAGACGGGTGAACGTCAGAGTACCAGGGTTAACGGCGGAAACGTCGGGGTTACGCGGCGGAAAATACTTCGGGACTGCTTCAACAACCATGATTTTCGGGGTTGTTTCCTACGGTGGGAGACGGGTGAACGTCTGCTCGCCAGCTGTTTCAGCGGTTTACGGTGTACTTTTAAGCAATCTGGGGAAATTCTTCGGCGAGATCTACGGCGTCGATGCGGGCTAGGTTCCGTGAAATTCGGTCCCGGTAGACCCATGACTCTGGGTTCCGCACGAAAGAGCACCTCCTGTTGGTGGGTTGCTAGTGTGGTTAACCACGGAGAGAAGATGGCGACGGGTGGGCACGCTAGATACACCGGTTCTTCAAGGGGATAACCTGCAGGTGACCAAAACGTACGAGTATTTTTCGGCACCGACATTTACGGAGAGTACCAAGTATCGGTTTTACAAGAGTTCGGCGGCGACGGCCGACAATTTCGTGAAACGGCGGAGTTGCAGCGGCGCTGGGATAAGCTGCCGTGGTGAACTTCTTGGTGGCAAAATCTGTGGAGTTTCAGGGGTACCAGCCGCAACACAAGTGAAAATTATCGCAACAGGTGGGGGGAGGAAGGACAGCTTTTTCGCCTCTGCCCCGAAGTTCTCGGCGAGTAACGACAACGCCGCCGGGGTAGCTGACGTCATCGACAGTTCAAGTTCGAGTCCGAAAAAAATATTGCAGGCGGTCAGGGGGAAGTGCAGCAGCTGTTTTCGTCCCTGCCCGGGAGTTTTCGGAGCAACGCGACAAATGTCTCGGCGAGTCTGGACAAGGCTGCCGGGGGCGCCGACAACTGGAACCATTACAGCGAAGATTTTGCCACAGCAACAAGCCAAACAGCAGCAATTTCGGGAATGCAGGGGCTGACAGCTAGAGACACAGCAGCAGGTTCGATTCTTCCACGCGGTGATTCTGTGTTGCAGCCGCCGGAAATGCTGCAGCGGCGGACGCGACAAAAATGACAACAAGAAGGTTTCATCGCGGAACATTTACGTCGGGCTTCGACAGAGTTTACCCTAGGCATTTTTCAGAGTTTTCGACAGTGAAGATCTCGCCACCGACAGCAATTTCGACAGCACAGCGGCTGAACTTCAGGCGGGAAGTCATAACACTTGGTATTCTATTCTACCCTCAGCGTCAGGGTGGTTGTGATTTTGTGTCCGCGCAGCCGTGCACATTTTTGTGGGCAGCAGCTATCTTCCAAGGGGGGGGAGAAAGAGTGCTCACGCACTGTTCTCGGCAGGTCTCTGACATTTCGGCAGTTATTTCGGACAGCTCGTCTGACACACCTCGCACGACGGACGCACGCGATGGCTTCATCGGCATTGACGGCATCAGATTCTTCGGTCTCTGACAACGCGTCAGAATTCCCGCCGACATTGCGTTCATCGGGACCATCCGATATACATCCGCGACGTCGACGGCTTCCCTTCGTCGACGGATTTCCAACTCGACATTCGCTTTCAACCGCCCGATCGACATCGGCAGTATCAACGGCTGACATCCCAACTCTTTGAAATTCGCCTGGTCAACGCGCTCAGCCACGCGTCAACTCGAAAGTCAACACGCTTCCGCGCCGTCAGATCAGTTTTCGACCGAGATCTGCAGTTTTCACGCTACTGCAAGACTCGCCTACATATAAGGGCACCTTATTTAGAAGGTGGGAGAGTGTAATGAATGTGAATTCATTACTGTAGAGGCTGCTCCTAGCGAGGACAGCCCGAACTGTTCGCGTCAGTTTGGGCTCGGTCTACACTTTCGTACCGAACCAGCGCCGAGTCGCCCCGCAC